TTTTTTGACAAATTCAATTCACCATTTTTCCACTTTCTACAGCTTATAGCAGGCGACTCGGCGGCAGTACGAAGATACCAGTGGGCTCGTTGGAAAGGTGAGACATTCAGCTTTCATATGAGTTATTGATGATGTAATTATCTTAAGGGGTTGTCGAGAAATTCACGAAAAATTAAAATAAAAACCTTGTTTATTTGCTCATAGCAGGCGACAGCTCATAGCACGAAGATGTAACGTTTGTTACTTAACGTGTTGAACAATTCGTGCTCACACCTGATTATGCAATAAAAATTAAGAATCGAATCGAAAGAATGAAACAGAAACGATTTATTGTAATGGGAATGTATAAAAATAAGATCGTTCGGATCGACTTTTATTTCATCTCCGTTTCGAATCCCAACAATAACTTCAAACGAAAATATTCAGCTCAATTCGCGTTATTTAATCAATACAATTTTTGATACAATTACGCGCGCAACTTTCATCAATGAGTTTTGCGTGCATTTAACACACGTACTAGTAAAGTTTTGGCCTTGATCTGAACTGCAGTCCGGAAATAACGCGCCAGAGATGTTTTGCTCTCGTTTTTTTTTTCTCATCTCGTTCGCTTTCATCTGAACTCTCTGAGCTCTCCAGGCAGGCACAGGCACAAGCAGGCAGGCGAGAATTCAGCCTCTTTATATAAATACGAATGTAGGTGAACTTTTCTTAGAATCAGCAGAAACGCAATTTAAATATAGAGTGCGTGCGAAAAAAAAACAAAACAAAACAACAAAAAAAAAACAACAAAGAAACAAATAAATCGACTTAATTGGAAATCTGTAAAATTCGATTCAGCTGTGAAACGTTCTGCAAATAGGTTTTTCATTTGGAAAATTTCGCTTCTGCTGCGAAGAGAGAGAATAAAAAAAATCTATTTTCAGTTCACCGTTTTTTTTTTCTGTTCTCTCCCCGCACTTTCTATTTCTATTTTTATCAGCATTTTAACGAATATAAAATGTGTGCAGATCAGAACACTGCCTCACTTCCATTGCAAACATCGTAATTGCAACGTCGTCAGTTGGAACATTCAAATAATAGAAAGAAGAAAATGATTGAATTTTAGTGAATTTTTACATTTCTACTTCTTTTCATTTCATCTCTTGCCTTTAACTATTAACTGTTTGTTTGTTAGACAATCCTAACAACAACTTAGTTTAACAGAGTTCAAAGAAATTGAAATATTTGTGTGTTAAATCGAGTTTAGTACTTAGTAAATCGAATTTGAACTGAATTCACAGATGTAGTGTGGGCAAATTACCGAAATATAATTAGATTCGGAGGAAGGAGAAGGCGTTATGTTATGCACGATGTATTTTTAAAGAAATTCTATTATAAATATTTAGACTTGGTGGCGATGCGACGAGAATAGGCGCAAGTGAAGACATTCAAGTACGTTGCAAATTGAAAGAGAAAACTTGATGATAAGAGTGAAAAGTCTTACTTATTTACTCAATTACTAATTGCGAAAACAAAGATAAAAGTATTGGATTCATGTACAACTTGATCAAAGTACAAGTAAAATCTTACTTGTTAGCAATGATTTGAAATTTTGTTGTGAAGATTACGTTACGTTACGTTCATAAGAAAATCGAGTATCATTGATTTACTTTTTTGCTTCATTAAGAATTTACCTTTAATTAATTGCTCAAAATGTACTTGTTTTCATTGATTTGAGTTTGAAATTTTAAAGAGTGAAGATTACGTTACGCTACGGACATCACAACTGGAATTGTTTCCTTCTAAAATTATAAAAAGAAAAGTATCAGCGCTTTGGATTTTTTTCTTTCTTAAGAAACTTACTTTTAATTAATCTGCTCAAAATCAATTTGATTTGATGAAAATTTCCATGTTTTCAATGTTTGAAATGTTAACGAGTGAAGGTTACGTTACGTACGTCACAGCTCCAATTGTTTCCTTCAAAAATACTTGAAACAAAAGCACTAGTGATTCATTTCTTCTTATTATTTTATGATTAGTTCGTTTTGCACGAAATAGTTCAAATGGATTCCATCAATGATCAACGACAATATTCAGTAACATACAATTATTTATTCACATAATTTCACTAAACGACTACAAAAAAGTATCTAACAATAATAATTTGATAAATTACACCAAAAAATAATAATTATTGATCAATTATTTATATGCATATAATATATATAGGTTCTTGTTTGTTGTTGTTGCTGCTGCTGTCAAAATCTACAGAAAA